TGATCATTCATTTGTTAGTTCATTGACTGTTAGCTTCACAGTACTCAAATGTCATTTATTACTTGCACACTTCCTAATATTATTTCTAACCATGTTGATTCAAAGCTGGCAATCAGCGCTAAACAGCCTACGCTGGAACAAGGATGCCATGAATAGAATAATTTGTTGAAGCGTTCATTTCCTGGACGAAATAAGTTCCCCATGAAGAAGAAGCGTCTTCAAGCATGATCATTAAAAAAAAGTGATGATTGACGAATATTTGAATAAACAACACACAGTCGTTGATCAAATTGAAAACGTATTTTGTGTTTTCCAATAGCAATAAAATGGACCACGTTTCACAACAGTGAACTCAAACAAACACGAAATCCCTGTACCCCAATTTGTTGATGATGAACTTGACGGACAGAGAGGAGAACAACGCCAAAACACTAGAATTTCACGTGAAGAAAAATAAAAGAGATAGATATTGAGCCAGGATACATATAAAAACACGACCGTGAACGAGTCCAGTAAGTCCAGTTGATTCCTGTCACTAATCTGGTCGGCCAAAGCGTGTCCCGTTTGGTAGTATTGAAGACAGATGCGGTGGCAAAAGAGAATCAATATGCAGTGAGAGCAAGCATTGTCCGGTCTGTTGAGGAAGCCCGAAGTTTGCATCTGAAATCAACGGTTTTGGTTCTGTTCTAAAATGAGATCGCAAAACACATAACTGGTGAACACATTCCGATAAAGTTACCTTATCTTCTGTTAGAGTGTGCTAGTTTCACCCAAATTATCTTTCGCAATTCCGTTTTTTCCTACGCATAGTCCAAAGATAAAGCTGTTCTATCTGCAGTGGTGTTCAATGTATCCTGACCAGTTAACCATTGCAGTACAATTAAGCTGTGAAATATGACTCAACAGCTAAGGGCCCAAGCGCTTTAGGCAAATCCGTTCAACGTAACAATTTGGTGTAACTGGTTGTAAATTGAAAAATAATGAACAATTATCATAGTCCTAACTTTGAATTGTTATCAAGGCAAATGTTGAAATTGGTAGGTGGGAAGTAGACAAAAATGATTGAGCTCTCAAGAACAAACTTACTGGAATCCGCAGGATAACAGCGTCGGCATCACGGTTGAAGTAAAACAGCCGGAATTCCAACTATCCTGAAAGTGAACGGAATTGAGATGAGAACGCGTTTAAAGGTAGCATTATGTGGCTTANAAGTGGACAAAAATCACTGAACTCTCAAATTCAAACTTACTGGAATCCGCAGGATAACAGTGTCGGCATCACGGTTGAAGTAAAACAGCCGGAATTCCAACTATCCTGAAAATGAACGGAATTGAAATGAGAACGCGTTTAAAGGTCGCATTATGTGGCTTATTTAAGAGTTCACAAATGACGTCCATCTCGAATTCCATTTCCTGATTTTTGTCCACGATTTTCATAAAGTGCAATCACTTCATTGGGCACGTGTAGTTCAGCAGTATACCACGCTTTTGAACAATCACTGCTGTCAGTTTCGTGATTTGCAAACCCCGGATCACTCATTCGCCATCCGGCTCGAAGATCGCCAGCCCGATTCAACATCACATGCCAACTTGTGATTACAGTTGCGGTATCCGGAAAGAAGCTGGAATTTCTCTCCTCACGAATGCCCGGAACGAAAAGTTGTAAACCGCGTTTCTCGCCCTCCACTTCGCAAAGCTTGTGAGCTGCAGAGCACTAGGTGATAGCAAGCGGCAGATGAATCATTCTGACTCCATTGCCCACATCCTTGAAATCCGGCTACCAATTGCTGAGGTACTAAATTCATGTAGAATGAGTAAAAGACAAATCACAATTTCGAGAGATAACGAACGCGAACCCACGGTAATTAAAGTAGGGGAGTGAATTTGAGACCGCAGTGTAAAGGTCCCGCTGATAAATACTATTGGGATGTGACCCACAGCGAACACAATTGGTCCAAAGGGAAAAACAAGTGATTTCTTTCATTTCTAGAACTAATCCCGATACGTCGTTTCAGGAGGGGTTAACTAAGACTTAATCAATGCAACGGTCGTAAATAACCGCAATATTTCAATGGAGACAACTTGAGTGGACAAAACCCGGATGCAGCATACTTTTGACACTGTTAAAACACCACTCACATATGGCCCGAAAAGCGTAAACCTAAAAATATGTATCGAAACAACTAGTGGGAAAACCTGTATCAAAATCATACTTCATTGTTCTGTTATATACTGTTAAGCAATTATCCGAGTTCCGCATTATTTGTTCGAGTTGTTTTGTATTTCACGAATAATACTACTAATATGTATGCTATGAAACGGTGCCGATAAGAAACATCGGTCAAAGCCCCCGACGACAGGCCCGCAGTCAACCAGACTGATTGTTACACATTGATTGGCAATCGTGCTAAGGC